GTCGGAATAAAGGCGCCAAACATTTTCAGCGAGCTGACGCCTTCGATGTAGAATCTCCAGTTTTAAAGCAAACCTCGTGCCGAATTATTCCGTGCTCCATTGATCTACAAGTGTTCATTAAAGCAACATCTTAAAGTAGAGGCTGGTTTTAATTAGTTTCTCCAAGATTACGATTTGCGATTGCAGCTAAATGAATTACAAAGCCCCATGATCGAGGGTAACAAAGGGTCTTTAAGGGACGCAAGATTAGGGCCAACTTAACATGCGACGTATGATTTTACAGAATGGCGAACGTAAAGTTCTGAAACAGCGTGGGCGTGATGTGCCTCCTTAAAGATTTTCGACCCGTAAAAGCCTCAATATTTCCCTGAGACTGATTTGAAGTATTCCCTTTTTATACGTGACGCGTGAATTTCTCTAAAATTCATGTGTGAAACAGGGTTCCGTCCACACTTCAACGCATTGTCGACGTTTTCATATTTTTTTCTGGTTTGAGGAACAATTTAAGAAAGCACCGTTTCAGTGATTTGAACAGATTTGTTTGGATCTTGACCAAATATCTCTATTATATTTATAACAGTATTAATACCTTCAACTCTATGATGTCTGTTATGTAAATGTCTATTGTTGGCCTCTCTCGGCACCATCATCCCAAAATATTAATGAGCCATGGTTCAGAGACAAAATACTGAAATAGAATTTTATCTTCCACGAGACTTTTCCTTTGGCCTCCTGGATATCGTTAGAACGTTCCTAATGTATAACCAAGCTACATCTTAAAAACAAGGTTAATGTTAGAGTACGCTGAGTTCTCCTTTTAAAAAAAAGATATGAATACCCTTAATATCTCATTTGCAATTATGTTGCTGACGGAGCTCGTCCTGCGGTAATTGTGGAAATTAGGTAGTTTATTTTCTCAGAAAAAGAAATGAATTTAGCTACTGACACTGAACGGTTCCCATGCAAAGTGACCTTGCATAGCTCAGTATAACATTATCTCTTTGAAGATGTGAACAACAGCCCAGAGGGAGAAATCAATTGGAAACGAGCGTTTTATCTTCTTTATTAAATCCATTTTGAAATCACTGGTGGTCCCTGTGATCTGATTGGCTCTAATTGGTGC